AAGAGAAGAAAACCATCTCTAAACACAACGCCTGAAAACCTTAAGAAAGCCTACAAATGAAATCAATTAATCCTCCAACCATGATAAATTTCTTAACCATTTCAGAAACGTATTTCAGACTCTGCTGTGACCCTTTATCACCAGACCTAATGGATTACTTTATTAATAATGCACTGCTCTTAAAAGGAATTTTTCCAAAGATTCTACCATAAGAGAGCATTTTTGGAATGGCTATGACAAACAGGCTGACATTTTCACATTGTATTTATTAAAGATAATAAAATTTAACACTAACTCCAAAGAAGACAAATTATGTTCTGCTGCCAGGGTATCAAGTAGACTTTCTACTGCATTAAACCAAAATTAGAGCAACCCGATTTCCAAAAACAAGCTGCTTCCTTTGCCTTATTACCCAAGCTGAAAAATGTCCTCACACTGTTTCAACGCTTGCTATGTCAACCAGGCAATTATCACGTGTCAACAGTACCTGGGGATGAAGTATGATGACATCTCACCTAGATCTTTCAGTTATCTAGTCTGAACAAACACTAGGACCTATTTGATTGCCTGCCATACCCTTATACAAAGCAGTTTTCTCCTCTCAGGCCTGTTACCTCCTTCCACTTCTTCCCCTAGGATGGGATTTCTTTACATGGATATCTTGGTTATCAGTGCTCCAACTACAGCAGCCTCCACTTCTTGAATAGGTTTAGGCAATTACTTTACTACCCCGTGGTTCTGCCATGCTTCCATACTTGCCATTTCAGAGGCAGAAGGAATCTCCAGGAAGAACTATCTCTAGCTCCACACTCAGTCAGCTTTGGAGAAACAGTCCAAATGGATTTTTGGTCCTTTATGGCCAAACCAAGTCTCACGTTCTGCTGCCCAATGTGCTCCAATTTTATTTAGAATACTTTTTTAACAACTTTTTATCTCCTCTTCGTGAATATATTAATCATTACTGTACTTCTGAGTCACAAAAGGACGCTGTGTCATGAACTAAAGCCAGACCAAACCTCCAAAAACCACACCAAAACTGTATGTGTGAAGATCAAGCACTCAAAAAACCGACAGGTAACTCAGCTAAATAGGCAAAAATAAGGTCTTTGGTGACCTTTATCAGTCATTTTTTGAACAAACTGGTGTCTGGGAAGATGTGTAGGGACTCTTCATTCATGGTAAGCTAGACATTAGTGGACCTCAGATAAGGTCCGAGGTAGAGTGGCACAGGAGATAGAAAAGAAAAAGAGAGAGAGATTCAGGAACATTAGGCAACAGAAAAGTTAAATTCCGTGTCACGTGAGGAAAAGCCACGGTGCCATCTCCCTTTCTCTGCATGACCCCTCAACAGGTGCACCTGAGAAAGGCCCACTCAAGGGTAAACAAAAGATACCAGCAGCACGCGGAACAGCTCTTCTTCCTACGCGGCACCATTTCTACCTGCTCTATTTTAGCGCGTAGAAAGATTTTTTATCCGCAGAACAGGATTGCTTGGACCTGTGTTGCTGGAGATAGGTGTCTCTCCATACCCATCTACGTATCTATAGGTATCTCCTTATGGCAGCTGGCACAGTGCCTTGTGAAGCCAGCCCACAGCCCTGCTGTCCTGGCCAGGGCGCTGTGGCACAAATTCTTGTCACTGACATTATACAATCCATTTCTCTGCTTTTCTAATTCCAAATGCTGCGGTTTTTTACCTTCTGTGTGGGGCAAGATGGGCTCTCACACAACAGAGAACGCAACTGCTGCCAATAATCCGGTTTCAAATTACCTAATATTCATTGCTTTAAATATCTCCCATCAACCTAAGATGCATTCTCCAACCCCAATGCACACAACCACTCAGTACCCCATGTTTTCTTCTCATTTTTAAAGAAACTACAAGATTTTCTTTCTATATAAAAACCAAGGTACATGTTTAATGGAGTCCTCTGATATGTTATTTACTCAGCCTACTCTTGCGATCTGTTTAATCAGAGTTCTGCTCGAAAACACAAAGGACCCGTGATTTGGGGTGCTCCTGTCTATGCAAACATCAGGAGGAACACACAGCTGATCAGTGTTTTTACAAGTGCACACACACTCCACAATTAGGTTGAAGGATGCCATGTCTGGTTAACACAGCACAAGTTAGCTGAAAAGGAAACTTTCACCCCCCACACACATAACAAAGAGCCGTGATTTCTATTAGTGCATTTCATACCATACATGCTGATTACCAGGCTGTGCTTCATTGTTAGCAGAGATTACAGCTGGGATAAGCTGCAGCTTTTTCTTAATTGCTATTATGATGACTGAATTTTTGTTTTGTGTCAAGCATTATTCACACATTATACTCCAAAATTTGATCCCTCTATGATGCATTATTGATTCCATGCAGGCAATCATACCGCCGCCAATGTGAAGAATTAATTTGGGCTATTCTGCTTGATTTGCATTGCTCCATCATAGCAGAACATAGTTCTGTAGGGAGGCACAAATTGAAAAGGGAGATTTAACAAAATACAGAAAATGCTGCTGCCTTTTAAAAGAGATGAGTCTTAAGGAGGAGGAAAAAAAACCCCAAAAAACCCAAACCCAGCACAACACGTGTGGTCCAGAATGAAATAAGGTCAGTCAGCCAAATTCATCTTAGTCAGAGGAAGGTTACAAGAGTAGCCTTATGCCTCTAACAAAGTAAACTAGCTTGCTTCAACTTATATTGCCAAAGAAAACAACTGAACACCTCTTAGAGTGACACTGCTTCAAAGCCTTTGAAAGCCTGTTAGCTTCATTTGTTTTCCCAGCATAAGCAATACTCAAGCACTTAGTGTGTCTTTTATCCACAGGCCAGTCAACTGCAAAGCTGATCTAGAAGATGTCTAACAGATGCTCCACGTCTACTCATTTTTTTTTCAAAGTTCTACTGTGTTAACAAAGGAACTTATGAGATCTTAACAGAAAGAAAGCCTGGGATTTATTTTTTTTCCCCCCTACCAATTAGATTATTTCACAGTTTTGGGATGCCAACTTAATTAGCACGGAATAAATTCAGAAGGGCATGACAACTAATACAGGGACTTTGATCTCACATTGGTCAACTCTTAGTCCAAATCTGATTGAATCTGCATACCAGGGGGCACTGACAATGATGCATTTCTACTTGGTCTCGTATTTTAAAGGTGTCAAGTCTTTGTGAAAAGCCCACATTATTTCATTGTCCCAAATGCTTCATGAAACAAAACCTCACATGCCATCCCAGAAACTAGATTCAAATTCTACATGCGTGAACATGCCGGAGAGAATTTAGAAATTTTAGAGATTTTAGAAATCAAACTTATAATGACTCAAAATGCTAGGTCTAAAATACTCCCTTTTTTTTTTTTTTGGAGGCAAGGAAAGAGGGAAGAGAAACTTTAGTAGAAGACTTCTGGTCTTTCAATAGTCAAGCCTTCCTAATTATTTTCCAGTGCAGATCTAATTCAGTTGTAAAATAATAGAAGACAGATATGGGTTGGGGAATAAAAATCATATAATTTCAACTTAATAGCACTGAGCAGCTTTCAGAAGTAGTCACAAAACATGGTTAGCATGACCCCAACACAGGAAAGTAAGTGACTTTGAATCACAAGTTATTTTCCTCATAAATATTTTAAAAAGCAATACATATATTCAAGTAAAATCAATGCTACTGCCAAAAAGCCCAACTTCCAATTTCTCCCAAACTCTTTTGCTCCCTGTGAAAAGCTGTTTCCTGTCTACAGTCTTACAAATATTCAGTCATTTCTCTTCCTTTCAAATGGCAACAGCCTATGACTTTTTCTTCTTTTTTTAACAGTTAAAGAGGTTTCTGAAATAAATTTTAAAAGATCAGGGAAATCCATTCCACAGCCCACTTCATCCATTTCTACAGGTGGAATGAAATAAGGAGATAATAGCTCGAAATGCTAGCTGTTAAAAGTTAAGATGCAGTTCCCACTTTCCATGCACAAAGTGCCACACCAAGGTGGAGGTCCTTGGCAAGAAGCAGCGCCATGGATGGAAGTCCATGTGGATGGCTACAGAAGCCTTCTGCTCTGCCTCAGTTTCAATCCTTGCTTTCAGTGTATGAGCTATGAGGGAAGACCTAAGCCACAAAGCAGCCTTAGCAAAAAAAAAAACAACCCAAAAACCTCATTAAAAAGTTGTGATCGGACTTACCACCTTCGTCCCGGAAACTACTGATGACTGAGCAGTTAAGTTGCACACCCTGGCAGGCAACGTGCAAAAGATAGCATCAGGTCATTCAGGCTGCTAACTAACACTGTCTGATATCCCTCACATCAATTTGTTCCCCTTAAGCACCCTTGATAAGGACTAGTCAGCTTAAAAAAATAAGCATATGTGAAGTCCTAAAATCAGTCAAGCTCTCCTTCAGCTTCATTCATAAAATTACAACCCAAATGAATCTCCACTTCTGCTATTAAAAGAAGGGAGGAAATTCTTAGAATAAACTGATGCTTTTTGGGTTGGTTTTTTTTTTTTTTTGCCACAGAGGCTTATTAGCTTATTGTCATTATGTTTATAGCTATGAAGAAAAGCTGTGAGAAACAGATATTAAAGGCGCACATTAAAGAGACCTAAATGGCATGCAAATGAAAGGGAAAGAAAAATCTCAAAATTAGATTTACAATAAAAGCTGTTAAAACAAACAGGCTAAAATGGATACATCAGAGTAACTCGCAGGAAAAAAAAAACCACTACACAGATATTTAAAAAAAGAAAAATCAAGCTGTTTCTGCTATGTCCTTCAACAAACAGACTGGAGTAAACCCTTCTTGGCTGTCCGATCATGTCAGAGACGAGGTAAAAAAAAAATAAAGAGCAAGCATGCTTTTACCTACACGAGATAAAAACATCAGAAGCTCAGAGCAGAACACTCTGAAATGCACAGCGCACATCTGTCTCAAAACTACTTATTTCTGCATTAGCAGCACACGGAAGACACCGAGCACAGGCTCACACAATCTCAGCCCACCTACCGTCCTCCTTGTCCAGCACCATCATCTCCGCAATCAAGAAAAGTCCGGGCACGGATGCTTCTTCTCCAGCAGCCTCCGCTCAGGGGAGAGGAGAGCAAGTCTCTGGGAACACAAATGAGCTACGGTACAGCTGATCGTCCTCTAGCAGCAAGTGAGCTCTAATTACCCAGTTGTCCAGCTTTTAACCTAGATTGCACTCAGTTAGAATTACACTCAGAAATAAAGCACTTTGCAGATACAAAAGCAGTCTCACCTACTTTTGTGCCTCAGAATTGCAAGGAACTAAAACTGCAATTTAGAAAGAAGGGGGATCGGAGCTGTTTCTTTGGTTCTCACCTTCTAAATGGCTCAATTTACACAGTATAATCTATTTTAATGTAATTGCCTTTGATAGCTCATAACCCTGGCTGTTGCAACCACACAGCTTTCAGCCTTATAAAGTGTTTTCCCTCTGGATTTAAGCCGCCTCTAAATCCGAAATTATATTCAGAGAGGGTAGAATACCTAAACCCGAGCAGCGCTGCCTCTGCCTCTCAATTGGCGAGCCTTGCACACTTGCTGTGAATAAATGCACGCGTTTGGCAGGGCCCCCGCTGGCGCTGCTGCCGGGCTCTCCTGGCGGAGCGCGGCTCCCCGGCTCAGCAGCACCACCTGCAGCCCGCCCGGCCCCCGCCCAGGTGCCGCGGGGCCACCTGCGCCGCCGCCCCTTTGTCCCCCGGGCCCGGGGGATGCTCCCTCCGCCGCTGCTCCCTCCCTGCCAGCGGGGCCGTGGCTGGCGCCACACAGCAGCTCACACAGGCTCACAACTCTCCGCAGCGGATGCCGGCTGCCTTACACCGGCCCCGCCGCTGCCCGGCTCCGTTTCACGCGTCTCCGGTGACCTAAAACTTGATACTAATTTTTCTGAACAAATATTTTGGGTTTGTTTTCACGTGACGGTGTTAGGTTCAGGGTGTACTCCGGGGAACGCAGCTCCATTTTCACTAGGTCGATGTTAAAATGAATTTCCCTAATCAAACGCGATGCAGACCCTTAACAGGTTTGCTGCACTTTTCAGAAATGCCATCGATGCTCAAATAAAAAGTGACAAGTTGGGGGCCCACATCTTTTATCCTTCGTCCTGCAACTCCTGTTCCTTTTTCAGACAGGTCATCTGTTGCCTCCAATGGCCCTCGCAAGGACTGAGGGATCAGACACTTCGCTACCAAGATCAACAGCACCGTTTCACCCATCTCAGTCTTTTAATCTGAGAAAACATTTCATTTCTGCTTTAATGATACTTCTTCCTCCCCTTTACAACTGATACAACGATACTCTAAAGAGCATGATAGCGGGCTCAAGTTATATATCCTTAATACCAATTTTTAATTAGATTCCTTATCCCCAGCTGAAGTGGCTTTTCCTTCCCCTTTCATTCACAATACTTAATCCTAAAAGTCCTTGAGAATATTTGATGTTAAATGTATCGTTTTACACTGAACTGTTTTCATCTAGTGCTTCCAACAACTCCTGTTTCCTAGTGATTAGTTTGCAAGCATTGAATATGTTTTTTTAGCGTAAGAGCGCAACCACCATAAATAATCATTTTCTTTTAGGAAGTGTTACAAGCTAAAAAGGAGGAGGACTTTATCCCAAAGATTAAAGTCTAATAGTTAAAAGCATCCACACAAAAATTCAAAAAACAGAGCATTTTCTAGATTTGAGGCACTTCAACACTTTCAATATACTACTGGCCTCCATCAGAAAACGGTGAACTCCAAAAATGTTCCATCTTTCTGTCTGTGTACTTTTCAACCTTGCCACCTTCAAAAGGACAGACTTACCACAAAATACATGGTATATTTCAACTTCCACTACTTGGTAACTAAAAGAAAGGCAAGGTTTTGATAAAAAATGAAGTTAGCCATTGCCTGTCACGGCTGACTTCTGCAGCAGAGCAAACTAGCAGATATAATGCACTCTAGAAAAATATGCAGTACCAGACCAGTGTGCATTTTATTCCTTTACTGCTCCATCATGTCACAGAGGCTGGATTATACACCCTGTGCAGACAGATTTTTTTAAACACTTTATCTGCTTACTCATTTCACACACCAACAATTAAAAAAAAAAAAGTTTTCTAACCCCCAACACATTTGTACAGCAATTTAAGTCAACTACAATTAACACAATCTGTTGGAATTAATCATGCTACCTGATGTCAGTTTACTTTTTTAAGCAGAAATCTGGTCTTTGCGATCAAAACATTTACGCATTTGAGAAATATCTTAACTCTCATTATCTCGAAATTTATAAATGCGCTGCACGGTGCGTAGGTTGGCTTGCCCACAGCAAATTCTGCAGTGATTTACACAGTGGAACTGACTAAAATGCGGGCCCTGAAGTTTTTCTCTCTCAACCTCTCTCTCCCCCACCACTCTCTCAGCTCCCAACGTTTTCCCTCTTCTCTCAGTTCCTAACATTTGTTCGGGGAAGATACCTGCCAAAGTTCCACGGTGAACCAGTATTTTCTAATATCAAGTCTTGTTGCATCAGTCAAGTTACATTATGTCACTTCAAACATACAAAATGCTGTTACCTCCCTGACAAAACTTGACGCGATGCCACAACACATCAAGTCAGAAACATTATTATTGTTGTTATTTTTTCAGTCTGCCCCTTCATCCTCAATGATATCTATGAAGACCCACAGAAAAGTATTACTGAGTCTCTCTACTACTTCTCGGCACCACAGAGCGTGCTTGCCAAGGAAGCTTTTTGCTCAGAAACCTGGGGTGGAAACACAAACCCGCAGTTATCGCGCCGCTGGGGCAGTCCTGGCGTCACATTGGGGCTGGCACACAGCCCTAAGGCCCCGAGCTGCAAGAATGGGCAGCTGCCTCTGAGGCCAATGGCCATGGCCCAGCTTCCCAAGTTGCCTTTAGGGATGCAAAAGCAAGGGGCACACATCTACAAGGCAGCAAGTGTCCTCCCTGAGATGCACAGGGACTTCTGGGAGGGGTAATCCTGAAATCCTGCCTTCTCTATGCAATAATAACTATGAATACCCCCAGCGCTGCCAGAGACCTCAAAAGAGAATCCCTCAAAGAAAAACTCTACATGGCAAAGCCATTTAAATCAAGGGGAGAACTGGACAGTAGCCACAACGTGGGGATTTTTAGATGGTAAAAATCAGACTGGCTTCTGGGAAAAAGAAAAATAAAAGGAGAAAAAAAAGGCCCATTTATTGGAGTAAAACAGACCCATTTTTTATTAACAAGCTCATTGAAGCTTGATTTCAAAAGGAGTTGGTTTAGTTAGCAAAAGCTTCCATTTTAGTCCATTTGTAACCTATGCAGGTCCAGCATCCCCTTTTAACATTCACAGATGAGCAGGCAAGCGGAGCCCATTTGAATCAGGCAGAAAGAAACTTACAAAGGTAAAATGACCTCTTCATAAAAAGAGTTTCTTCTCTGAGTCTCACCTTCTGTCCCTCATTTCTCCAGTGCATTGTTAAAAGTGACCATAATGTCTCCTTGAGTATAACTACTCCATCAACAGCACAGGAGATTCCCAGGCATTACCGCACCTTGTTGCTCTGATGTTCGCATTCCTCTCATCAGGGGTTTGTTTCCTACTTTGCTCCTTTTTTAAGTGCACCCCGCACTAATTTCCTCCTTACCTCTCCCATCCACCACCATTATTCCCTTTTATACACAGCCACTCATGAAATCTCCTGGAAAGAGGCTGTTGAGAACTGTCTGGATAATCAAGGGTTCTAGTTTCATTTCCTTACAGCACTGTCAGGCCAGCCCTGAGCTCCTCGTGTTTAATGAGTACATCTGAGACACTTGAAAGAGCCCAAACACCCCTATTAGGAAACCCTCTTCAGATCTCGGTCTCTCCTCGCAGCTCACCTGTGCCTCTCGCCCCTGCAACGGAGACAGCATCCTGCTGGCAGCCTGTCAATCACACGGAAAGACACGGGCTGGCAGGCACCCCCCGACAGAGTCACCGGGATGAAGACATCACCCGGTTATTATTATTATTAAGGGGTATTAATAGAGATGTTAAGAGCCCTTCCTCCCTTTTCCTCCAGCAGCTGAGCAAAACTGAGGGGACTCTCGCAATGCAGGTTACTCCTGAAAGTGAGGTCGGGGAGAAACACAAACCCTGTTCCACACACCAGTAAGAAATTACTCGTGTTTAATTCCTCGGTCATTACTTAACCTTTTAACCTAAGTGCACAGGGGGGCGAGGGATGAGGAAAGTCTTTCTACTCTTCTCTCTGACCAGTTAGATAAGTTCATTCCCTCTTCCCCAACACACGCGCTTTCCACTGGAGCACTAGACCCCATTAATAACACTACATCAGTTTGCTTCAGAGGGCTTCAAGAAACTGGAGGAAAAAGAGCTGCCGGGAGAGGGATTCTCCGAGGGCCCGGAGGCATGTGACGAGCGTGCAGGAGCGAGCTCCCTCCCCACGCACCTCTCTGGGGCAGCGAGCATTTAACCTTGTGCTTGTCAGCGCTCCGGCCCCCTCCCACACGCCAGCCCGGATCGCTCTTCGTGCCCCGTCCCACTCGGCGGTGTCGCGGCGGGCAGACTCTCCCCGTTCTGAGGCAGAAACTCCGGATCAAAAGAAAAGGGGAAGGGGGAGGAAAAGAGGGAAGGAGGGAAAAAAAAAGAAAAAAAAAAAAGAAAACAGCGAAGGAGAGCATCTCCCACTTGTCTCTTGAGCCTGGCATCCACTTTTCCGAGTTGAAGCCCCCGCCAGCCCGACACAGGGACGTTCTGTGGCCCTTTACACAAGCAGGCAGGGCCGCCCAGCCCGCAGTGGGAGCGCGGGGCGGCGTTCGGGCACCCGCGGCCTCGGGAGCCGGCGGAGCTGGCCCGGCAGGGACCCACGCCGAGGCCACCGCGGCTGATGGCGGCCCGGTGCGGCGGCCGCGGTGTCAGACCCTCCCCGGCCGGCCGCAGCGCTCAGCGGGGCCGCTGCCAGCCGCTGCCGCGTCCCCGCCGCGCCGCCCGGCCCGGCCACCGCGGAGAGCGCCCCCGGCCGCCCCCGGCCCCCTTTGTGAGCGGAGCGGAGCGGGACGGGCCGGGCAGCAGCGCCGTGCCGCGGTGCGGGGCAGCTCCCCCGGCCCCGCCACCTTCCCCCGGGCCCCCGGCCCTGCCTCCCCGGCCGGGCGGGAGCGGCGGCCCCCGCGCCCCGATCCCACCTACCGTCCTCCTTGTCCAGCACCATTGTCCCGGGCGCCGAGGGCGGCCGCCGCCGCCGCCGCTCCGGCTCCTTGGGGCGCTCCCCCTCCAGCCGCCGCTCTCGGCTCCGGGGCGGGCGAGGCGCCGGGCCGGGCACCGGGGCGCTGCCGAGGCGGGGGCAGCGGCGCGGCCGCCCCGGCGCTGCCCCGGGACGCGAGTTTGGAGCGGGGCTGCGGGCGGGCTACGGCCGCGCTGGGCGGCGGAGAGCTGGAGCCGCGCTCCTGCAGCAGCCGCCTCGCCCCCGGCCCCGCCGCTGCAGCTCGAGTGCCAGTTTAGGGATCAAAGAAGAAGGGAAGCGGAGGGGGGGGAGAGAGGAAA